AAATATTTGGAAATAAAATTATAGGATGGAAACTTTAGACATCAAGTATATCCTTATTAATGAAAGCAAATTAAAATATTTTGACATACATAAAGAGTATAATTAATTTTAACTCATAGTAGTTAGTTAGGATACTATATTAACTTTATATACATAATAAATTAATTATTAAAATAAACTTTTATTTAATACTAATATTTCGGTACGGTAGGGCAATACCATTGTAATAATATTGAGTGCCGTTGCCCTACCAAAAGATTTCGGTAGGGTACGGTAATAATTCGGTAGAAATATTTCGGTAGAGAATCGGTAGGGCTCGGTAGGGCAACAGGTTGGTAGGGCAATTTGGTAAAAAAAACCCACCCCTAGTTAGTTATATACATTTTCAAAATGAGGGGATCTCTAAAATAATCCCTTTGTTAATTTGGTCTTACTCTTATTGAAATTTTTGGAATTAGTATTGTGACTAGTCGCAGCCATAAGTTTTTTTTTTATTTGTTGTGGATAAACTTTGTAATAAAGTAAATGATCAAAGATAAGAATCTGCTATAGTTATCTTAATGAAGAATTTGATGGTGTAGGATCGACAATCTCAAACCTTTCTCCAAACCCTACTCTTTGACGACCGTCGGAGAGCACACCAGACATTTGACCTTAGGCCGGCGGCTATGAAAACAACGAACGGAAAATAGTAAAAAGTGAGAGCGAATTTGAGAAGAGAGTATAATGTGTTATTGATTGTTCAAAAAGGAACCCTTAATCAGGTCTTTACATTCATTTATTTAGAGGGTTTCTCACAATACATTTCCTATTTTAGATTTTCTTTATTTGATCGAGATTTAGTTTCATTACTCACTCACGGATTCTAATTATCAACATGTTTTCCTTCTTTATTTATAGAAAATATCATCGAATCTTCACTTTCACTGTCTCTCAATCAGCTTGTCACCTACCTTGTATTTATCTTTTACACGTGTGCATTGGAACAAGGGGTGAGCAAAAAAACCGAGAAACCAAAAAACCTAACCGACAACTAAAAATGCCGAGCCAATATGCACCATCCCAACTTAAAATCGGACAAAAAACTGAAAAAACCGAGCTAATATCCCCTGCCCCAACTTAAAACCGCATATACGGTAAACAAATTTTGAAAAACCGAAAATATCAAAATTACCGAACCGATTACCCGAACCCAACCGATTTATGACGTTGTTTTGATATATAGCATAAATATTTACCGTCTTCCCCTAGCGCGCCTCTATCCTTCGACACCTCCATGTGACATGTTTTTTATTAATTTAATTTTGGGTAGTGAAATATTTTTTATTAGTTAGTTATGAGTTGTTATTTGTTAATTTTCTGAAACAAATGTAATGAGAGTCCAAATTCACTGTTAACCAAATATCGGTTTTATGCCGAATCGATAGATGAAACCGAAATCGAAAATAAACCGAATTGATACCGAAACCGTTAACCGAAAATCGAAAAACCGAACACCGAACCGAAAAAAATCAACATGTTCGGTTCTTAAAATATGAAAACCAACATTATCGGTACAATGTTTGGTTTATTGCAAAAACTGAGTCGTACCGACCCGTGCACACCCCTAGTTGGGACGAAATGGTGGGCTCACTGTTCACGCGCATCCAAGCGTAGCGAATGTAATGAGAGTCCAAATTCACTGTAACGAGAGTCGTACTGACCCGTGCACACCCCTAGTTTAGTTTCTGAAACAAATGTAATGAGAGTCCAAATTCACTGTTAACCAAATATCGGTTTTATGCCGAATCGATAGATGAAACCGAAACCGAAAATAAACCGAATTGATACCGAAACCGTTAACCGAAAATCGAAAAACCGAACACCGAACCGAAAAAAATCAACATGTTCGGTTCTTAAAATATGAAAACCAACATTATCGGTACAATGTTTGGTTTATTGCAAAAACTGAGTCGTACCGACCCGTGCACACCCCTAGTTGGGACGAAATGGTGGGCTCACTGTTCACGCGCATCCAAGCGTAGCGAATGTAATGAGAGTCCAAATTCACTGTAACGAGAGTCGTACTGACCCGTGCACACCCCTAGTTTAGTTTCTGAAACAAATGTAATGAGAGTCCAAATTCACTGTTAACCAAATATCGGTTTTATGCCGAATCAATAGATGAAACCGAAACCGAAAATAAACCGAATTGATACCGAAACCGTTAACCGAAAATCGAAAAACCGAACACCGAACCGAAAAAAATCAACATGTTCGGTTCTTAAAATATGAAAACCAACATTATCGATACAATGTTTGGTTTATTGCAAAAACCGAGTCGTACCGACCCGTGCACACCCCTAGTTGAAACGAAATGGTGGGCTCACTGTTCACGCGCATCCAAGCGTAGCAAACTCCATGCCAACAGACTCTCTATCGGCGAGCTTCCCAAGAGGCCCAATCTTCAGCTCTTATTGGGCGTTTGGCCCAATAAATCCATCACAACTCACATAATTTGATCGTATCTTCTAAGTAAGCTCAATATGAAAAATAATAACAAAAATTAGTAAATACATACTTATATACAATATATCGATAAACTCTAATGAAGAATTCAAAACTTATTCCCATGGGTCTGTAGTGTTGCATAAAATGGAAGCAATTATATATTATGAGTATTATTATTATTTAAAAGGGGTTTGCATATTCAGTACAAAGAATCTAATAACAAATAAATCTTGAAATTCTTAACTATACAAATAAATAATATGAATAAATAAATGTTGATTCAAAGAATCCGGAAAAAACGGTGTCAAGGCACTTTGTCCCTGCTGGTTGTTTGCCTTTACAGTCTAAGTTTCATCTACTTTGCCTCGAAAAAGAGCTTCTCCTCACAACTCTTCACGTGTATACCAATATATATACATATGTATGTATGTATATGTTTGTGGGGTGGGGGTGGGGGGTGGTGTAGGGTGGTTGTCTTGGAAACTTATTATTACAGATAAGAAGAAGCCCATACCTCTTAGCATCTCGTAAAATGCATGCCTTTGTATTGAAACCGTCAATGCCTTTAATGACTCTCTCTCTCTCTCTCTCTCTCTCTCTCTTTCTCTCTCTCTCTCTCTCTCTCTCTCTCTCTCTCTCTCTCTCTCTCTCTCTCTCTCTCTCTCTCTCTCTCTCTCTCTCTCTCTCTCTATGCATGTTACTCACATTACACTAATCTCAGATTCTCACTGATTACTATGAACTTTGTTCCCTCCCATTTCATTATTTCTTCTACTCGCTTTTAAGGTTTTTTTGAAGTGTCGTTTAAGGTTAATGCACATCAGTTAAGAAAGTTATTAAATAGTTTTGATTTCCGAAGGAAAAAAAACTCTTACTTTGACAAAACTACCCTTTGTGTTTTTCGGCCAAATTCTCTTTATTACTTCATTAATCTACTTTAATGATGGGTTAAATTGTTATTGAAATTCTAAAGCGACACTTAATATGAGAAAAAAAAAATTAACTAAATAGGCATTTAAAAAGACAAGGATGAGAAAATAAATGTGCATGAATTTTAGAGCGAATGCATTTAATGATATAAAGATCACCATTCTTATTGTTTCTCTTTCGATTGATTCTCTCTTCATTAATTACGAGCATAGGGCAAAATTAAGAAAAATGTATTCAATACATCACGAAACTCTAAAGTGACAGATATTATAATTTGAAACATAAAGAGTAAGAATCTTTTTTTAAGTGATTATTGCGATTCTAATATGTTATGGTATAAGTAATCGGCTTAACCCTAGCTCCGTCTTACATGATTACCGAAGGCGTAAAGCACGATCCAATTTAATCGAAATGTTAGTACGATCATATGCATAGATCATATGTATTGCTAATTAATTCCCACATAATTATAATTAGTAGTGTTGCAAATGCAAAAAAAATAGTTCATCAAGCTCGATATTCAATTCATCAAGATAAAAAAGTTTACATGAGTGAAAGTCTTGTAATGAAGGCTTGATCAACACCGGCCTCATCAAATTCGAACAATCGACGAGACGAAAAACACAAGAAATCGAAAACAAAGAAACCTAACTCAACATGAAACTCATAGCAATAGAAAAACGAGTGAATGATCCTCGTTTGCTACTCGTAGCTAGGCGAAATTAAACAACAACAAGAAATATTCATGATCTAATTCTATTAAGTTTCATGAGCTAGCATTTGCGAATTCTTGACAATCACTTAATTAAGCAGATAAAAATTACCCCTTAATTTTCGATCGGTATATATTAACTCGAAGCTAAAACGGGGGCCTTCCCGTTGCCCAAAAGGCCTCGTTCGGCATTTGGATCGAGTTAAAAAGATTGGGCGGCATTCCTTGAAACAAAGAAGGGTCAGCCAGAACTTGCTGCTGGTGGTTTTGCGGTGGCTGCCCACTGCCGCCCAAACCGCCGGGCGGCGATCCGAGGGAAGAACTTCCCGGAACTTGATTATTATTATTATTAATGGCGGCGTTTTCATCTTCTTCTAATGGCAATCTTTCGTACGCGGCGTTGCTGAATGAGGCCGCCATTATAATAACCGGTCCAGATGCTAGGAGCTGCCCGACCACGCTGCCCCCGAGAACCTGCCCCTGCCCGCCGGCTAAGTATATGGTCAGCCCGGTGGCCGCCGGAGGAGCCGGTGGCGGGAGGAAGGAACCCGCGAGAGACAAGATCTCGAACCTGCCGTGTAGGGTCATGACCGCACCCGGGGCGGCCGGTTGTCGGAGCGTTACGTTCGTCACATTCCCGGTGCCGCTCATGACGCAGACGCCGCGCTGGCGGCGGCGGGCGAAGCTGGCGACGCTGTCCATGATGTCGCAGCCGTCGGAGACTTCCATCACGTGTGTCCTCAGGGCGTTTGCGCTGTCCCGGGTGATGATGATTGGCGGCTTCGGCTTGTTCTTCGAGCCGGCCGGGCGGCCCCTCGGCCTCCTGTTGCCGGACATATCTCCTCCTCCTCCTTCCCCGGAGCCTCCGCCGCCGCCGCCCCCGGCGGGGCTCCCGTCGTTGCCGCCGTCGAAGTCGCTCCTGCCGACCTCGTCGCGGTTGCGCTTCTGGCCGCCGCCGCCCATGTTGCTGGTCTCGCTTTGCTCGTCCTCCGAGTTGTGGGTCTGGTGGTGGTGGTGGAACTGGTGCTGCAAATTGAAATCTCTGGTGTGGAACGGCGGCGGAAGTGAATGCCCATCCATTTTTTTTTTCTCAGATTTCAAATTTTTTGATATGGGTGTTCTTTCTTTGATGAAAATCAGCTCGGGTTTCCGCGGCCACCGCAGTATTGAGCTGAAACCACCATCTTTCCGCTTCCCAAGAAATTATCTGATGGCGGCGACGGAGAGTTTCGCTCAGACCCAAGTTGCAGGCAGATCTGGTTGGTTGGCTTATTGAATTTCAAAGGGCTGGTTTTTTGTTTTTGGATTAGGGTTTGAATTTTAGTAGTGGACTACTATTTGTTCATAAGCGGTGGTGGACCTCTCTCTCTCCTCTCTCTTTCTCTCTCCTCTCTCTCACACACACTAAAGTGTATCTATATGTGTATGCTTTTTTTTTTTCACACATCAGCAAAATTCAGATTATATAGTTATAATAATCACGTTGCTCCAAGTCATCTTTCACCAAATTCAACTTCTCTTTGTCCGTATGTATCACAAGGTCTCAATCAACTAAAATAACAAATTCTTTTATTTTTTATTTTATTTTATTTATTTATTTATATAGATAATTCGAATTTATACTCCTTAAGGCTTTTCTATATTGTGTATGATGTCTTGATTTGATCTTATATGTGGGAGTAGTAGTGATAGAACACGTGGTTAAGGTTTTCTCTTTCTTTGTAATAATTAATAGCTACATATGAGAGGGTTATTAAGGTAATTTCACACGAAGTATATATATAGTCTTTTTCACCGGACCACTAGTAGTTATCAGGATAAGGTGGTTTTTTTCTTTTCTTTTTTTTTTTTCTTTATTTATTTTAACTGAACATCTGATCCTAAAAACCAACAGCCTGGAAAATTTTGTATGCAACCGATATAACTACTTCAAATCCACATGACATAATAATAATTAAAAACGGAAAAATATTAATTAGTGTTTTTTTAATTAGAAGAAATGTGTTAACCTTATCAGGTGTGAGTATATAACTATATATATACTTGGGGATTGGCATAAAAATTAACAATATGTTCGGTTGACAAGATTCAAACTAATTCATTGGAGCAACAAAAGTTGAAGTTCGTAATTAAATACTACTATCGAACAAGTAGTAAATAATACCCTACCTCCCGAGTGATTAGTTATGTGTTTTCTTCGTTGTTGAAGTTTAAAATATGTTGACGACGTTGATGAGTCCTTAAAAAATATGTATTTTTTTTCTTCCATTCTTGGTTATTTTTTAAAATTGTAACAACATTTAGCACAAAAGTCGAATTTTAATTATGTAAATTGGATTGTTCTTAGAATTTTAAGTTAAGTATTTATATGATTTAATAATTTAAGATTTTCGGTTTTAATGGATTTTTTACAGTTTTTTTTTTCTAATACCATGCACATACACAATTTGACATTAATTTTGAAAAATAATATTTTGTAATAAATATGACAATAAAATTACTGAAAATTGGCAGTGAACTTCTGAAATTGGCCGAGAATGGCAACAAACTTCTAAAACTAAGCTGAAAGTTGACATCGAATTTTCAACTACTAAAATAGGCTGAACTTCTGAAATTGGCTGAAATTTGAGTCTCAACTTTTAAAATTTGACAAATGAACTTCTAAAACTTATAGAAATTTTCGACAATAGTGTGTTTTAACAAAATATGGAAATTAACTTCTGATAGTTGGTTGAAAAATTAACGATGAACTCTTGAATTTGAGTGAGAGTCGACAACACGCACGATTCTATAATTGACTGAAAAATTAATGAAAGTTTGATAGTGAACTTTTAATAGTATAGACAACAAATTTACAAAAATCTGACATGCCCGGAGTTAGCCAGAGTCATTCCTGAGATTTCACTAGGCGAGATTTAAAAACGGTTAAAATGAGGCGCTTTTATAATCTACAATAAAAATCATTTTTTCTAAAAAGGTGTTATATAAACTCTAAATTGACTCATTTTTGTAAGATATATAAGCACGCAAGGTTAGAAACTTATGTATACTGGGGTTAAAATTTCGGGGATTTGGGGGCACGCTCAACTTTGTATCCATTTAGATGATAAAAGTTTGGTGTTATTTTTGTAAAATGAAAAGAGCCAAAGAATTTTATCGATTTTATTTTTATTATTATTAATTTTTTTTATCTTTGTTGGTAATGAAATTAGATTTAATTAAGGAGTTTTAGCATATTTCTCTTTAGTTTAAAGGTGCCAATTACGAAGAATATATATATATTTTTTTTGATAAGTACAATTACGAAGAATAATATTGAGTCAATGTAAATGTGGATGAATGAAGTCACGCAAAGCAATATAATATAATAAAGAACAAGTAGCTGGCAAAATTAAATTAGGTCGTGGCTTCATCCTTCTTGAGATGCAACAACATGTGGAGAGAGAGAATAGAAGAGAGAGAGAGAGAGAGAGAGAGAGAGAGAGAGAGAGGAGAGAGAGATATCTAGAGAGAGAGAGAGATCCACATGCACCACTAATGGGTCTGCAAAACTAATGTCTATCTTTGGTATTAATTCTCAAGGTTGAAGGAGACAACTGTAGAGTGGGTCCAACATGCCGGGACACGTGTCCTCTCCCCCGTGCTTTGCGGGTCTATTCGTTGAACAATTCCTGGTTAATGGTCCTCACCTGGCCATTGATGTATAAAGTCCAATAGAATGCATATACACATATATACATATATCTCTCTTTATTTATGTATCCTCGTTATCTTTCCAATGATTTTCAATTCGCTTTTTTCCCTTTTGTTCTGTACTCTTTTTTTTTTTCTTTCTTTTTTCATATATCGTAAAACCAATTGGTTAATTAGTTATAGAGTCAAATATGTATAAATATTCAATTCCGGATAATATATATATTATAATAATTGAAAACAATAAAGAATTTGTGTAGTGGTTGAATGATATATATATGTTAGCTCCACCACTAATTATTGGGAACCTGTATATATCCCAATTAGGGGTGGAAATGCAGCAATCACTATCGTTTTAATCTATTCTGAATCCATTGTTATTCGTATAAGTCTGGTTGTCAAGATAAGATGAAATAATCTAGTATTATTCATGTAGATCAATGTGATTTTTTATAAGGATCCAAATTACATGAATCTATCCAACATAATTTTGCCATATTTAGAATCGATCTGTGATGCATCCATACATTAGTAGAAAAATGGTTTTTTACTACAACCATTAGCAAGAGGTACTAAATTCGTAGTAAAAGAGATTTTTCAACTAGTGACAATCGATCAAAACATTGCATTCCAGTTTTCCACTGTGTAGCATGTAAACTTCAACTTCTTAACATATTCACTTTTCTGATACAATTCGTGTCAGATACCGGAGAATATCTGATGGACACCTTATGGGCCATTTTCCAAAATTTTAAAAAGTTAGAAACATGTTTGATAGCAAATGTTTGCTTCTTTAATTACTTACATGATTTAATGATCAATTGCAAATTAATAGTTGAATATTATAATTTTAATTTTGAATATATTTGCATGGAATTATATAGAACAATTATATATAAATAAAAACTTATACATGTTTATATAACATATTCATAAATATACCCTTATACTTTTTCTCCAAGCTCCCGTTTCGCCATTTCTGGTACATGCCGTTTCCCCAGGTCTGTTTCCCCGGATTGCCGTTTCCATGTCCGTGCTAAGTATGTTTTGCGTATATGTTCGTATTTAAGTCAATTTTTCCAATTCAATCCATTTGACCGATTTTATATAATTTTTATCGATTTTAATGATGATTGACCATGTTAATCTACTTTTATTCTTCAATTTAAGCTATTCAACCTGCATTTTGTTTTTCCAATTTCATTTGTCTGCAAACTTAACTTGTTTTGGGCCGGTTTGAGAGCATCTCCAAACATACGTGGTTTTGCAGTGTTAATTGCTACACTTTAGCCGTTGTATTATTTGCCAACCAAAAATTTCACCCCAAAAAGTTCACCCTTAATGAAAAATAATATCAAACAAACATAAAAGATATCATTTTTCTTTCTTTAGTGCCAACCACGCAAAAATCTCACACCCATCTCCTCATTCACAAACACTCTCCGTCTTCGTCACAAAACCTCCAAAAAACTTAAAATTCAAAGAAATTAAAACCTCACAAAGCTTGCAAAACGGGGTCACAATACAACAAAATGGTAGTTTATATGAAAGGAGAACACATTAATGCTTGTATCCATGTCTTTTTAACTTGAAAGTGGATTTTAATGTGTTTTTTTTTCTTAAAATCCTTGGTCTATTTTCGACATACTCAGGTCGATTTTTTCCAAACAAAAAAAAAAGTTTTTTTTTGGTTGAAACAAATGGTTTTTCGACATTTACATGTCGAAATTGTTTTAAGCATTAGTGATTTTTCGACATATACATGTCGAATAAACAAAAAAATGACCTGTAAGTGTTGAAAATTGGGACGGGGTTTAAAAAAAAATCTTACAAATTAACTTCCAAGATCAAAAAATACATGGATACATATCTTAATGGGTTATCCTCCAAAATTTCGGTACGCCAAATTTTAGTTGGTAAATTTAGAAGTGTTCATTCGGTAAAATCGTACCGAAATTTTGGTAGGCCAAATTTTCATACCGTTTATTGTACGGTTCGTTAAATAACCGAATTTTGTTGAAGTTTTATTAAAAATAAAAAAAAAATTGTTTTTTTATTGTTTAATTAATTTTAGTTTAAATACTTATATTTCATATTCAAATATATCTATATATTTAAAACTGAATATCGAATGGAATTATCGGTTCGGTTCGGTCGGTTTATCGAACGGATGAATTCCCGTATATAAGTTTGACAATATAAAGGTGAACTTGTACAGAAATACATAATTGATGGGGTAACTATAATCACGCAAATAATAGATGTTTTTTGTAATTTGACCTTAACTCAAAGGGTGACCGTAATTTGCCCAAAAGATATTAGTGCCCATACAAATGTTTAGCAAATTGCCTTTTAAAACACCGATACTATTTGGTTTAATAGTGATCAACACATAGAAATTGGTAATAAACATTGGGGATTATTAGGGAAAACCCCTCATTTGGAAAATATATAGAAATAACGACCATGGAGATTACACCTTTGGTGATATCCCTGATTCTTTTTTTTTTC